ATGCTGTTACCTGGGTGATTTGATACACAAATGTTAAAAATGCCTTGGTTGAAGTGGAGAAACAATTGCTACATGTTTGTTTTGAGCTTTACCTCCAATTTTGCCTCTCTACTCAGATTCAGGTCTTTTGCCCATAACCTAATATCCACAACTAGTTAATGTAGAGCAAGATTCTTGGTCAGTTCACACATATAAAGATGAGAAATCAGGGGCTGTACCCATCTTGACCTACTCACTTTGTTTCATGGTGTCCGTGATGTTAGAGAAAGAAAAAATGCATTGTGTCTTGCTTCTTAATTTCCATCTGCGAAGGACTGATGGTTTTCATCGTATTGTATTTGACAATAATTATTTTATTATCTTTGACTGCATTTTCCTATATATATTCTCTTATCTGCATACTTCACAATAAAGGGGACAGTTTCAATCACATTTATACTAATGTGGAAACCACTTACAAATTCAAATCTCTTTGTGAATTGTAAATACAGTTGTCCCAAGCTGAGCAGAGGATGAACAAGTTGGATCAGTGCTATTGTGAAAGGACCTGCACAATGAAAGGCATGACGTACAGAGAGTTTGAATCCTGGACAGATGGCTGTAAGAACTGCACTTGCATGGTATGGCTACAGTTTGAGTGGAGACTTGGGAACACTTAACGTTTCCTCTGATTACAGTTTTATTGAGTCAAATAATGAGAAAACTTCCATGTGTATTCCAAGTAGTAGCATCAAAGTGCTAGAAAACCTGTTCTAAGTCTAAGGAATAGTATTAATAAATACATTTTCCTTTTGTTTCAGCAGTGCCGGTGTGTGTAGCTCTCCTATATTTCATGTCACCATACGCAGATGCTATGCAATATACTTAGCTGTCATGTTATTCCCATGCACTGAGTTGCAAACGGTCTTTGTGGATAATTAATTCCCTGCTTTTTGTCACTATAAATACAGCCTTTTTCTTAGCAAGTGATTTAATAAATCCCTTGTGTCGGATTCCCTTTGGTTGCCTTTGGTTACATCTCAATAAGTAAGAAAGTAAAATGTCAGGGTCATATGCATGCTTTGTTATATCACAAATGAAAAAGATTTGTTACGTGGATGGAAGATTCCCAAAGGTAACACAACTCCAGAAATGACTGCAAGTATCCTTTTAGGTACCAAACCAGGGCATCTTTGTTATTGTCCATTCATGTAAAACTCATTAATTCCGTTTGAACTTATTAAATACATAATCCAAAGGCCATTGGAAATTGGTGAAAGGGCTGTTGTTTGTACTGCACCTTAGATTTGATTCGCTGCTACTTATAATTTGCTAAGAGGTTCTCCTTAAGCTTAATATGATTTTGATCTTTATATTTCTGGAGGGATATTAATTTTGCTTTTAGTGTTTTGTGGTTGACAAGAAGACTTAGTCCATGGTGTCAAATCTGGCTGAAAACGATTTAAAATTCTTTGAACTTAGTGATAAATGCATGATATATTTTTATTGCAGATTTTTCTTGTAGCTATGCTATTATTAGAAATGCATTTTAGAAATGTATTGTCTCTTATTGTAAAGATTAGAAGGCAGACTATTGTTCTGTGAGGTTATTATTTCGCACTAATCTGTCAATTTGCTGCTGATTGGCAGAATGTTTTACCTCCAAATAGATTTGCCTCTAAAAAAAAATTTTGATCATTATCATCTCAAAGAACACATCATACGTTTCTAAAAGATTGTATACATGATATTCTGGAGGTATAGTTTCTGTTCTAACAGTTATTAAAAGAACCATTTTAAAATGTCTTTTTGGGTGTTGTTAGAGAGTTCATTGCATTTAAAAATAGATTTTTAAGTTCCTGTGTTTGAGAACATCTCTGCTCTTGCTAAATATAACTACCAGTTAAGCACTTTTTATTCTTCTAGAACGGTACTGTGCAATGCGAGGCTTTGATTTGCCCCCTCTCTGACTGCCCGCTTAACTCTGCCCTGGCGTATGTGGATGGCAAGTGCTGCAAAGAATGTCAATGTAAGTTTTATTGTGGTGCTTCCTTCTAATGAGTATTTTGAAATCTGTAAAGAAAATAAACCTTTCTGTAAACATGTCAGTGAAAGAACTGGTCAGGGAATGAAAAATTTGGGTTGAAGAATCAGGGAACTTAGACTTCTCTGAAATATTTTGAGAAATTGATAACTAGAAGGTTTAAATTTTTTAGGTGCAGGTACTTTGTTTTATTTTAGATATGTTATTTTTGCTTTTTAAGCATAGATATTCCTCATCAACATTTAAAAAGAAAAAACGTTATTTAAAGAACTTTCTACAGACTTCCATAGTCTGTTTTTTAGACCAAACTGCTAGAAATTCAAGAAAGATTGCCTGGTGTTTGTTTTGACCAGTGTTTCTAACACCTGTATTGCAAGAAGGATGTACTTTCGGCCTTATGTTGTAGTGCTAGAAATGGAAGTTCAGATTTATGATGATTCTTCTGTAATTAAGGGAAGAGAAAACTCATACTAGACCCAAGAGACCAGCAAAAAACAGACACCTAGAAATGTTCTTTCACAAAAGGTCAGACAGAATTATACAGGAAACTGGATAGAAGTAATTTAATATTGTCATTTAAGATAGGTGATTACATTTTGGTTTTATAGCATGTTGGGTTTTTTGCAAATAGGGGCCAGAGAAGGAGAATTTTAGGTTAATCACTATCTAGATGGACTATATATAATATTTCAGTTTGAGTATGGGTGTGTATGTGATGAGTATGTGATGGTTACTTATTTTGGGCTACGGTGGAATCCATTCTTGAAATTGAGCATGAGGCGCGCACACTTTATTTTGTAAATGTTGAGATTTTTCTGTGTGGTTTCATCACTCTTCTACGGCTGTATAAAACTTCTTACAGAGTATAGGGAAATATATGACTGGTTAAAATGACATGTTGTAAGATAAAATTCAGGAAGACGTTTTGTACTCCATTGATCTTACTCCCACAGGAGTTTATTAATATTTAATTGTGTTAGAAGTTACACAAACCATCCCATTTTATGAAACCTTATTAACTTACTCAAGTAGATTAATTCTAATTGAGAGGAAATGAGAATTCAAATACTTTCTTTTTTTTTTTAACCAGCTACACAGAATTTCCATGCATATTAGATGGCTCAGGGAATTGGTAATTCAGGGATGTGAGATGTGTGGAGTTCAAGTCTCTGTTTGAATCTTCAACCAGATTGGCAGAGTTTGAAAACCTAATCCTCTGAAGTATATTTTTGTAGTGTACTGCCTGTGAATTGAGTTGAGAATTCTCTATGCAGATGTTAATGGTGAAGTGCTCACATCATATGACTTCTTACAGAGTCATTTTTATTGGGAGTCTTGACACAGGTCAAGAAATGTGAATGAGCATACGGACGCTGACCTTGTCATACGGTGTTGCTACTTTTCCTTCCAATTAAGATACAGTTCTGGTAGGGCACACTGTGAAGTTTACTGTAATATTGCCTTTTTGATATTCTTAATATTATAAAAAGCCTTTTAGCTTTCAGTGTTGTTAATTTGATGCCAGTACATAATTCAATTTATAACTAACGTGCAGGCATATAGCTCTCTTGACAACCTACCAGAAGAATGTGTAGATCAAAAAATATAAATAAAAATTGCTTTTGAAAAATTATTCATAATTTCATCTAGGTTATTTAAAGTGCCTTTAAAAAAAAATCAAACAACTCTTAAAATGGCCAAATCTCTGGAACCACAAGACGGAGAGCGTAAATTTGAGTCCCATTGACAAGGTAGTTAAATTCCGGTGAAAAAGTGTAATGAGTGGAAGTTAGAGGTAATGGAGGTTGCAGGATCCTCACTTATTCTCCAGGCCAGTTTGGTGGAAATGCTGAGTTGTCACTGAGTTCATATATATATGTGCCAGCTGTATCCTGTCTTCTTGGGGTCTTCAGCTCAAGGTCTGAGCTGATTGAGGTCAGTGTGCTCAGTGACCATGATTCTGGCTCAAGGGTCAAAGCTGAGTTCCTCCATTTGGATAGGTTCTGAGAATAACGTTTTTAGTTCTTAGAACAATATCAGGGGATGTATCCTTTGACTAGATTACGTAGAGCAAACACAGATGGCTTCTAATTGGGAAAACACCTAATTAGGGTGTGTGGCTCAGGGAGCTGCTGTCCTCAGTATTGTATAATCAATCATAAATGTTGAGAAAAAGTGATGCCTAATACACTGTTCTTTACCTGAGTTTAGTATTGGTTTCAAGGCAGAGCATGTATGGATATCTCTGTTTCCTTCCTGGTATTTATGATGCTTGTACCAGATGATGGGTTGTTTCTGCCAAACTGTCATGTGAGTGGAACAGCCCAGGCAGTGGGAGCTGTGGCAGGCTCATTGCTGTGTCTCACCCAGGGCTGAGTGCTTCCGTCCACACTTCTTCCTTTCTTTTGCTCAGTGTTCAAACAAAAACACCAAAAATGAAAAAAGTGGGGTCTGATTTAATGGCAACTGGTATAGAAGAGTAAAAACGTACAGCTCTCAAGGCTTTTACAGTGACCAGCAAGCAGGCTTCCGAGGTTTTTGGGTTTATTTATTTGTTTATTTATTTTCCTCCTGAGTGATTGAGGATGGATTAATTCTGCATGGCTTTAGGCATGTAGAATTTGGGAATATAATCTGAAGTGGCTTCACTTATACTAGTAGGTAAAATAGGACAGGCACAGTCCTATGGCCCTGGGGCTAGGTGGCACTTGTGGCTCACATCTGCATTGCTAAACTCTCTTCACCTTCTCCCCCAACAGCATATCTGCATCCAGGTGGCTGACTGGGAATGGCATCTGATCAGTGCTGTCCCCCCAGCCATGCCTAGTGTTGCTTCAGAGCAACTGGTACAGGCCAAAGTGATGCCATGACATTTGCCAAAACTCAAACTGCATGGAGGATTACAGACTGTAATCTAATGTTTTCAAGCCTGTTCTCATTTACTGTTTCATTTATGTCGTGTTTCCTTTACTAGTTATCGACATCACCAGTTAGGCTCTCTTGATATCCAGTGAAAGAGACTGGCACCTCCAGAGGGCACTTGGTGCTGAGAGGGGGCTGGAAGGGATGGGAATGAATTGCCTTCTGGAGGTGGACATCTATTTTCGTGGACCATATAGGGAGCACAGAGATTAGATTAGATACCCGACTTTTAGATGGATGAAGTTGTGAGGTTAATCTTTCCATCAGTTACTGTAATGAGTATCAGGTGTGTCAGAAAGGAATGGAAAGTGCTGGATTTTTAAGCCTGGTTCTGACATTGAGCAGTTAGGCTAAGAGACTTGTGGGAGCCTACTACGCTGCCAAGCCCTAGGAATTGAACTTCAGCCCACCCCAGCATTTATATATTGGACAGTGCAGCTTTGTTGTATGTAATTTGATGACATTTTCAACACTTTAGAAATTATAATACAACCTATTCTTCATGTTTTTCTTAAATGTTTAGTTCAGGGAAGAACAGTTAGTAAAGATTGTTGTAGATTTGATTTGATTTGATTTGATTTTTTTACAATATTGCTTTGAATTTGGTTCTGCTTGTGAGCCAAAAGAAAAAAAAAAAAACAAAACCCAACGACCCAAACCCTGACCTTCTCTGCTAACTCCGTACCTTTGTTTGAGGACATTCAGACAACTTGTTCTGTTTTGTCTTCTGTGAAGGTTGATGCTGGTAGTGTAAGGAATGGCAATGCATGCAAATTATCATTGTGTTTTCTATTAACCATAATGGGATAAAAGAAGCAATGATCTTCCAAGGCACGTAAATTGGCCAGTGTGTTGGATATATGTTTCAGCTGCAGACAAGCTATTCAATGCAAAATTCAATCCAACTACTACAACATACATCTTAGATCAATGGGAGCTTCCTGTGGAGAATTGTTTGGAGCTGAAAGCAGAGACTACTTTCTTTTCTATTCCCAATGCACTTTGAAACCTATCTGAGGAGGTATGTGCAAGAGATCATTAAATTGTTTTCTCCTCTGCAGAGACAAATGCCTTGTGTGGTGATAGGCACTGATACGAATCGAGGAGAGATTAAGCTCCTCTACTGACCCTATAAAATATGCTTTAGACCATGGACTTGGCTTAAGAAGTACAAGGACGAGTTCATTTATTTTAAGTGAGTTGTGGAAGGACTGCCAATGTCTTAGTAGCTGAGTCAATTGGTACCTGGTCAGCAAATCTTTTTATGGTAACATTTTTATTGGTCAGTGTATTAACACTAAGGCATCACTTCCAATAGCTATGTGATGTATGTATTTTTTTTTCTAAATGGAGCCAGTGTATTTTTAACAAACTAGCTGTTTTTCATTGTTTTTAAGGCCGGAAGTGATTTTTGTACCAGGATATGGTGTGGTAATAATTCCCATCACCGAAGACTGATCTCCAGGAAGAAATTGCTCTCTTCTCATCACTGTCCACCTCTCAGTAACACTGCAGATACTTACAGACCTAATCCCAAACTATTTAAATCTATCCCAATAGATTTCAGTGGAGGTAAAAGTCTGAACCATTATGTTCAAATCTGCAGGCTGTGATATTTTTCCATGGACTTGCGTTTTTCTGAAACGGGACATTTGGTGGTTTTCTGGTGCATTGTAGCTAAATCCGCACTCTATCACAAGTATTTTAAGCAACTGTAGGAAGCATAGGGCTGTATTTGATCAGCTCACACTTCCGTTGCTAGCAGGTAGGGAGAGAGTGTGTAAAGGGGATACATAACTTGGAAAGGATTTTTGAACAAAATAATTAAACCACAAATATGGACATGGTACCTCTTATGCATGGATTTCTGATGCAGTGGTCTGTCTTTATAGCTTACAGAAACTTTTAATTTTAATTTGTAAGAAATTGTTAAAACTAAGGAGATTTCTCCTCTTGCTCTTCATGATGCACTGATTTTTTTCCCCAAAGCTACACACTCTTCTGCAAGCTCCAGCGCTTGTAGCTTACTGACACAGGGAGAAGGAACTGTAAAAGCCCATCTG